GTGAGGGGTGGGGGGAGAAGCTGGTTTCAATTTCCCACCTTTCTCCTAATTAGCTTTTAAATTGAACGCAGCTTCTATTTGAGAAAGGTGAGCTGGCTTTTATAAAGCAGCAGATAGAATCTGCCACCTGCCACGGTTTAAGGTTTTGTCTGAGAAAACAAAATAAGTGTGAGAACCTAAGTGCCTGGCCTAGTGAGAACTAGCCAGCTAGCTCAGAAAACAGACAGGAGAGAGGCGAGGAGGGGCCCTGGGTCAGGACAAGAAACTCCAGGCTCGGATCAGCCAATTACTTGCATTTTCGTGTGGTGTCCAGTCCCTGTGGGTCCATGACCTGGCTATGGGAAGCACAGATAGAGACAACAGAGGAGGCCTCAAATTTAAATGAGGGCCTCTAGTGGGGAGAATCTTAACAACCTCAGCCAGCATCTCCTGTTCTATCCTCCCAGGTTCTCCCGCCCAGGTTCCTCACTGTCCTCTTCTATAATCTAATCCACTCTATCTAGGCTCTCAGTTGCCCAGAGTACCTCCTGCCCCATCATTGATTTGAACCTTTGATAATTACCTGTTGTAATACCTTTTGTTTTTATTTTTATTTTTCGGTACTGGGTATTGAACTCAGAGGAATTTTATCACTGAGCCACATGACCCCGTCATTTTTTTTAAATCTTTTATTTTGAAACAGGGTTTGCTGTATTGCTGGGGTTGGCCTTGAACTTGGGATCCTCCTGCCTCAGCCTCCCAGAGTCCTGCGCCACCATATTTGGCCCTTTTGTCTTTAAATAATAGGATTTTTAAATTATAAAAGCAGTGCATATTTATATAAAAGGTTTGGGAAATCAAGGAGCTTTACAGTTGACTTCTGGCTGTTTTGGAAACTTCTAAGAACAGCGATGCACACAGAGAAGTGGAAAAGGCTCTATCAGCTCCCTAGTGCCCTTTCTTATTTCCCAGAATCCAGCCACAGTTCATGGGCTGCACTGGAAGCCCCAACTTTGCCATGTGCCCCTGTGAATAAAGTCTTTTTTACACAGGAGAGTTCAAATGTAGATACAGAGACTATTAAAGAGACTCCTGTTGCATTGACTTAGAAATCAGTGCAGGGCCAAAGGACAATGACACCAAAATTCACTGTCTGAAAGAAAGGTGGCATTTTACTATGAATATGGGAGATCACACCCTCTTCTTCCTTCCATGGTAGAATGTAGTGTTGTGATGGGATACTGTGTGCCTCTTGGAGAAACTGCAGGAAACAGAGTCACCAAGCTCATAATCTTGCACAACAACATATTGTTATCTGAGTATGGGAGATGGGGTGCAGAGATGTAGAAGCCACCCATCCTGGGGGGGTGGCTTGGTTAGACCTGGGGCAGCTGGAACCCCTGGCTGTGAGTTGCCTCCTGTCTTGACCCTTGTTGCTGTACAAGTATTAAATTTTTTTCTGTATGTGTCATGATGTGTCAAAGGTTGGGAAGCACGGCTCTGTTCAATAGATTGCAGCTTTGGTTCTATGAGAGGAAAGATAAAGTTTGTGTTGGCAAGCTTTCTGCTATTATGACAAAACAACTGAGATAATCATATAAGGAGGAAAAGATTGATTTTGGCCTCAGAATTTTAGAGGATTTCAGTCCATGGTAGCTTGTCCCTCTTGCTTTGGGCCTGTGGCAAGGCAGAACATCATAGTGGGGAGCATGTGTTAGAACAAAGCTTCTCGTCTCATGGCAGCTGGAACATTAAAGAGAGAAATGGAAGGAGGCCAGGTTCTGAAAGGTTCCAACTCCCAGGAGTACCTTAGGCTAGAGACTAAACCTTCAACACATGGGCCTTTGGAGGACACTGAAAATCCAAACGGAAGAAAGCTCTTAAGACACACATCCGGAAGTCACTTGAATAAATCTTACAAACTGATAGGACTTTGTAGATTACATCTTGCCCAGACTCCCATTCCATACACATTTTGCACAGATGATCATCAGGTGGATTCCACCTGATGGGAAAGTCAATGCTTCAGAGAGATTCCTACCTTTTATGTGCAACTCTAAATTTTATAAAATTCTTCATTTTATTGAACCAGACATTTCTCCAATTATAGTTCATTATAACATGATGGTAATATTGATTTGACTTTTCTGATCCATAAATTTCCATTTACTTCCCTATAATTCCCACACTTTGACCTGATTCTGTCCTTTGAACCACGTAGAAGAAATTTGTACTATATCATAAGTGGCAGCCCTTCTGACATTGCCCTTCCTATAGGAGTTTTGTTTTAATAAAAGACTAATTTTTAGAATAGTCTTAGATTTACCAAAAAAAAAAAAGAGAGATATAAAAGTTTCCACACACTACTCCCCACCATCTACCCAGTTTTCTTTATTATTTATATCTCATAGTGCATTTGTTATAAATAATGAACCAATATTGATATGTCATAATTAACCAAACTCTATACTTCATGCAGGTTTCCTTAATTTCTACCTAATGTCCTTTGTCTGTTCCAGGATCCCGTATTACATTTAGTTGACATGTCTCTTTAGTCTCCTCTTGGCTCTGACATTTTCTTAAACTTTTCTTGACAGGGCTTTATCCCAAGCCACCTGGACATGTGCACACACGTGCACACATATACATAAATATTTCTACACGTAGCCATCTGTATCTATATTAACTTAAACATGAGCTATATCTACAATTATAGTCCATTATAACATGATGGTAATATTGATCAGACTTTTCTGATCCATAAATTTCCATTCCAACAAAGAGAAACCTGGTTTCTACCATCTGCCTTCAACTTTTTGGGGGGATGGGCACCAGAGATTGAACTCAGGGGCACTCAGCCACTGAGCCATATCCCCAGCTCTGTTCTATATTTTATTTAGAGACAGGGTCTCACTGAGTTGCTTGGTGCCTTGATATTGCTGAGGCTGGTTTTGAACTCGAGATTCTCCTGCCTCAGCCTCCTGAGCTCCTGGGATTACAGGCATTTGCCACCCCGCCCAGCTGCTGTCTACTTCTTAATTGTTCATTTCCAATATATGTATATGACAGTTACCATAATGTTAATCTATGAGAATTTCTCTTTTGTTTTATTCTTTTGTCAAGTTAAGCATCATAGCTCCTTTAGCCATCTTGTTCATCCTCCATCAATTTCATGGGAAATGAGCACAGATCACTTTCTGCATTTTGCAAATGAGGAAAATTGAACTCTATCACTCATTCACATTCAAGGCACTAGTTGAAGTGTTGTGCACACATTAAAGTCATTCTTCCTCACAACAACCTTATGAGCTTGTTAATGATAATATCCTCGAGTAATAGGAGGAGAAGTTAATGACTCGTCCAAATTCAGATAATTAATGAATAGTGGAACTGGATTCAAAATGAAAGAGTGTGACTTCCAAGTTCATGCCCTTGAGTATTGTCATGCCACACAGCTGCTGAAGGAATCTTTCTGAAGGATGGCTTTGCTTTGCACATACCGTACAAACCTTCAGTGGTTCACATTTTCCCATAGGATAAGACCAAGTTTCTTAGCCTAGCTTTCAATGCTTCTGCAACCCACAGCCAACCCTGTGCTCCAGCTTATCCTTTCTGAGCAGTGGAGACCCCTGGAGCATGCCTGGATACTGTTGCTTCTCCTAATGAGCATATCGTCTTCCCTTCCTCTCAGTCTAGACCAAGCCCCGTGCATTCCAGAAGTCCCTTTCCCCTCCTCCTGGGCTCATTGCATTTATGGTGGTATCTTCCTTTTTTTTTTTTTATCGACACTTGACACTCACTGATGTCTTTTGTCTGATATTTAGTCTGGGCTGTATTTTGTTGATGTACTTTCCATTCACCTGTTGGTCTCTCCATTGCATCCTCAATGCCAGCTTGTTGTTACTGCTGATACCTCCGAGTTTTAATATTCGTAAACCTACTTAATGAGAAGTTGGATTCACAATTGCAATATTTCCTCAGATATCATCACAGTCTATTCATAGATAACCACATCTGCATGTGGTGCACATTAGCAAATAAACCAACGTGGTCTGAGACCATGGCCCGTGCTCTGTGAAATCTTCTCTCCCTCAGATTACCTTCATATTCCAGGAGGTCAAGACCGAATATTCTAAATGCCCCCATCAGTACCGCTCTGTGGAGGACTCAGCTGTGCTAAAGGACAATAAATGTTGTACCTCAGTTGCCAATTTAAAAGGGTCTGGCCCCCTGTATCTCAGCTTTAGATGTGCTTCCTTCAGGTCTCTAGGGAAGGTCTGGAAGAAAGAGAATTCTAAGTTTTGTTTCAAAGAACAGAACTTGTGTTCAAACTGAAGGCTGTTTGCTAAACTTTAGTTATTTCAGTGCTGCCTTCATAATTTTTGCCATATCTCATGCTCCCTTTTATTTTTTTACTTGAATTTTGATTTCATCCTAAGTAATAACAACTGCAAAAATCACATGCTTAAAGTGCTTCTTATAGTTTTTCAAATGGATAGCAAAATAAATGCATAGCCATTGGGTGATTGTCTATCTGCATCCTGCACAGAATTATGTCACCTACCCCTGTGGTGTGCTTACTACCTTGGAAAAAATTGTTCTAAGATTGTGGTCTTTTCCTCTCTACCCCTTTCTAGATGTGAAGCCTTTCTGATGAGAGCACTGGTATTCAGGCTGGGCACCTGTGTCCTGGCAGGTTCCACTAAGGCATCTTTGGGCATTTTGAGTTCTGGGCAAGACTAAGAGCATTTTCTTTCCTAAAGAGCAAGATAACATTAGCTCTACTTCTATTCCTTACCATCTACAAGGATGCTGGTTAAGATTGTGTTGGAAGAAAGCATATATTGATTTTTTAAGGTGTGAAAATCATAAGACAAGTGGATCCATCATTAGCACTTCTGGAAAGATTATTTGTGGGTAGTAATTCATTTCATGCATTGAGTACTTCTTTGAGCTTCTTTGAACTCTTCCTAGCTTGGGATCAGGAAAGCTGGCTTCAAGTATACCTTGCTTATTGTAAGGAAATGAAATAAAGGTCCAGGTGGCTTGGGACCTTATTACACTTTTCTTCTACTTGACTCAGGTTGAATATAAGCCTTTGGCTCAAGTCCGGAAGCCACCCTCCAAGATCAGGAACCTCAAAATGACCCGACATTTGCATAAGGTAGGAAGTGTTGGTTAGTGACTTTAGGAAAGGACGAGGGCAGTGGATGGAAGAAATAGCTTTTTACAGGCACTTTTGGCCAACTCAGCATGACAATGAGAGCCCTTTATCCATATCACCATGCTTCTCTCCACACAGTTTTAAACATGGCTATTTGTTGATAGTTAGATTATCTCTTTCCCAATCAGTTAATCAATCAATGTAGGAGGGCAGTGACCCAAGTGAGAAGGTCAAGTCTATAACGTAGCCGTAGAGGAAATGGGAGTTTTTGTTGCATCAAGAAAGATTTGCATTGTATAGCAAAAAAGGCCTTCCCCATGTTTGGAAGGTAAAATACTGGAATGAGAATAATAATGGCTATCACTTATGGAATACTCTACATAGTTTCACAAAAGCTATGAGGTAGGTCCCATTTTTGAGAGTGATGAAATAATTAAGGCTGAGAGAAAGAATCAGTGTGACCCATTCAGTGTCTACAGCTAGTGAGTGGTGGAATGGGGAGTCAACCCCAGATCCTGTGTGCTTGATTACTCTGCTCCCTGGAATCTTCTTTTTTTTTCCCCTCCAAGAATCTGGGTTTAGGCTCATCCTTGTTGTGGGGAGGAGTCTAGAAGAAATGACCTCTGGAGAATTTTCTTATCTGAGGTTTCTATACCTTATCCAATTTCTCTTTCTGTAGGGTACAAACACCAACATTACTTCACTCCCTTTTATGGATACCAAGGAGAAGAAGAATGTGATCAACCTCCCACACATCAGCAACAAAATTCTGCTGAAGCCTGGTGTGCTGTCCCGGGTAAGTACAGGGCAGTGGGCATGCTCCTGAGCAGACAGGTGAAAGACCTAGCTTCAGTTCAGAACCACATCTAGAAAAGTCCAGGAAGGTGGGGGAAAGGAGTAGCAGCTAAAGAGTTGGGTTCAAGTCCTTTTCTCACTCTTTGTACTGAATATGAACTTGGGTAAATATGCATTTTACTTTCTCTTACCTACAAAGTGGGCCTTTAGGGAGTTGTCAGGGATGATTCATTGACTAAAGGAAAAATGAAGTTGTGGTGTATAAATGATAGAAGAAAACAAAATCTTGTTTTCCTTCCATGTCATCTACCGTTTTTTTATAGGGACCCAATAAGATACTATGTAGGAAAGTCGTAAGAGGTGTTGTTATATAAATTCAAGTTTACATGTCCTTAAGCAAGTTACTTTATCTAGTTAGGAGCTGGCCTCCTCAAGAGCAATGATAAAAACTGTTCTCATCTCTTTCTACAGTGACACACCCCTGGGGTTGTCAACTGTATGCTCTAATGTGCATGTCTCCTGGGGCATGAGATGAGAATTAGATACTTCCTTTGGGAGAAAGGTGGAGAAAACCTACTGTCTCTTAACTACTGTTTTCTCCCTGGAAAGGTAGGACAAATCCTGTCTGGATGTGAGTGTTTTGGGGCATATAAATAGTTTATGTCCCCCAGAAGAAGTTGAAGTAGTTCTTTATTACCAATTTCTTTCCTTGGACAAGAAATTCAAACGCACAGTAGTAAGCTTCTGAGTACAAGGCTTTAGAAGCACCTTTCCACCCTAGCATGAAGACTCATGAACACAAGGTAGAAGAGAAACCACCAAAGAAGCACAAGGTGCCTCTGACAGCAGCAGGTATGACACTGGTGGGGTGGGCAGTAGCAGCATAGGCGGTGGTTGGGGGGGGGGGGGTCAGTGTTAAGAGCTGAGCTGACCTGGAGAGGGCCTAGTGGCCATATGTTGGAGTAGTCAACTAAGGCTACAAATCAAAATGAAAGAAGTTAAGCCTTTACCCTCTTACTGAAACAGTATAAACAAGAGGTTGGGTAAGAGGAAGTACCAGCATCACACTGTTCTATTACCTACCTTGGAACTATTCAAGGTAAGCGTCAGATGCATTAGTGCAGACAGAGGGCACTGTCTCACTGCCTGGGGAGCCCCAACGAAAGACTTCTGTCATTTTACGGACTTAGGAACAGAGGAAAGTGAGTGGGGAGGAGCTAGGAGTGGACAAGTCCAGAATACTGAAAGTAAAGTGTCCTGAAAATTCTGCCTTTCTCTTGACAAGGGGGTCTTGGCAGAGGTGCTTGAGGCAGGCCTCAGCTGGGTCTCCAATAGAGGGCTCTGAGTGGGGCCTTCTGGGTTAGACAGACTCAGATGCCTTAGAGAATCAGTCGCCTGCCAGGAGAATTTGGTCCTCAGCTGCAGCTCTGGTCAGAGACTACAAGCTCAGGCTGTGGACCAAGTCTGGTGTGGGAAGACAGCTGCCTCTGTGGAGCCTGCCAGATTAAGCCTGGGTAATTGTCTATTGTGAGGTCTGAAAGATCACACACAGTCTTCTGGCAGGAGCTACACTCCTCACGAAGTTCAGAGATTTCATGACCTCTTAGGATTCAAAGGAAGAGAACCAAAGTCCACTTAGCACTTACCATATGCCAACACTGTCCACTGCTCACAGCTTTTCTGCCACAGTGCTGAAGTTGAAATTGTTGTCCTTTTTAAATGATCTCAGGAGTGACCCTCCTGCCAGGAGATGATTTCAGTTCTGAGTTCATTCTGCCTTTACAGAGATGGTATCTGCCTCCTTCTATCTTGGGTCCTGATTTTGTCCTTTGGGCAAGGAACATGCCTTATTTAGCTTTGACATGACTGCTCTTCGGGTATATGAAGACAGTGGCCTTGTGCTCTATGTCTTTTTTTCTTTCTTTCTCCTCACAGTTCAACTTTTCAGCAGTTTGTCAAATAACATGGTGCCTCCTACCCTGATCCTGGCTTCCTGTCTCTGAGTACTCTTCATTTTATTCAAGTGTGAATCTCACTCCCCACCTGGCCCCCCTTGCCCTAACACAAACGCTCATGTGATCTGTCTCATGTAGATTAGAGAGGCACTAACAAGCATTTCCTCTATGGTTTGAAGTATTAGCTGGCTCCCCTGCAGGCCAGAGTGGGAGTAACCACAGGACTTTTTTTCTTTTTTCTTTTTTTTTTAGTTTTATTGATTTTATTTTTTTTAAATACACGATAGAGAAGTGCATTACATATAGAGCACAATGTTTCATATCTTTGTATATAGAGTATGTTCATGCCAATTCATGCTTTTATACATGTACTTTTTTGCATTACAATTCTTATATACCACAGTTTTTCATATCTGTTTATATATAAAGTATATTAACACCCAATTTGAGTCTTCATACATGTACTTTGGATAATGATGTCCATCATGTTCCACCACCTTGCTAATCCCCTGCCCTCTCCCTTTCCCTCCCACCCCTCTCCCCTATCTAGAATTCATCTAATCCTCCCATGCTCCCCCTCCTTACCCCACTATGAGTCTGCCTCCTTATATCAGAGAAAACATTCAGCATTTGTTTTTTGGGGATTGGCTAACTTCACTTAGCATTATCTTCTCCAATGCCATCCATTTACCTGTAAATGCCATGATTTTATTCTCTTTTATTGCTGAGTAAAATTCCATTGTGTATATATGCCACATTTTTTTTATCCATTCATCCACTGAAGAGCATCTAGGTTGACTCCACAGTTTAGCTATTGTGAATTGTGCTGCTATAAACATGGATGTGGCTGTGTTCCTATAGTATGCTGTTTTTTAAAAAAGGTACACTCATACGTTACTGGTGGGACTGCAAATTGATACAGCCAATTTAGAAAGCAGTATGGAGATTCCTTGGAAATCTGGGACTAGAACCACTGTTAGTTTGACCCAGCTATCCTTCTCCTTGGACTATACCACTGGACTTTTAAAGTTGCTTTTATGTCACCTGCCTGGTCCAGAAAACTTGTAGTTTTCAAACCTTCTCAAAATAAACTATTTGTCTGACCTGATTCCACATGAACTTGGACAAATATCACCTTAATGGTACACTATTGTTATAGGCTTTACTTCTGGACTTATTATTTTAAATATTTATAATAATAATGATAATAATAATAATTCATATTTTGCAGCAACCCATAGCTCTTGGGGCACTAAATTCTCTTTTCCCTTATGTTTGTGTTGTCATATTGAATTTTTTAAAATAGTTCCAAAACCTTGGCATTTATCCTTGTTATATTTCCTCGTGGGAATATTCTCCATGCATTATCTTTAAGAAACCACCTATTTGAGGAAAAGGCTCATGAACTAGAAAAGATATCACATCATCTGCACTTTCGGTAATACCCTTGTTGCCTCAACTTAACTAACAATTATCCGGTTTTTTCACATAGAAGCCCTAAAGAATTTTAAGAGTAAGCTGTCTCCTTATGAGCAAAGTGAAATCCTGGTCTACACAGAGCTATGGTCCCTGGGGCTTGATGCTGAGAAACTCAATGTGGCTCCAGAGAAATTCAGCAAGACAAGTTTTGATGATGAACATGGCTCCTATCTGAAGGTGATGAGGGAGGAGGTCATGGTGACCTCAGGTGGCTTGGGTGCAACAGAGAGTATGGAAAGGAAAGCAAAAGGGGATATTTTATAATGTTTTGTGTTGAGATGACAGGAACTAGACATTCCAACAGATGCTAATGAGTGCTAAACCAAATAAACACCTTGTTTAAACATGAAATTTAGTATGCAAAATCTTCTAACAGAATGGTGATTTTCTTCAAGGGTATTTGGGATAACAAGTTTGCATCCTGAGTGAACTCTCACAGGCTATTCTCTTGCACTGTCCTGGACCCCTTGGAAAAGATCAGACTGGAGTAAGATGCACTTGCCCCTCAATCTCCCTTTTTGTCTCCTCCACACAAGCCTATTCATGGCTCCTTTTGTGTTTTATAGCAGATGTCATTCCCTCCACAGATAAGAATAGTTTTTGTCACTGTAGTGTCCCTCGTGCACAGTGCTTTACTTCATTCCATTTTTCAAAAATTGATTGCAGAGACTCCTCTTTTTCTGACTGTACCTCTGGGGATCCCAGGGTAATGCCTCTTTCTCGCCTGAGGATGAAATCTGGACAGTGACCCCCTCTTCTGAGGATGCCTGCATGAGTGACACTTAGTCCACCAGGCTGTGAGCTGTCTGCACTTTCCTACTTCTGGAAATTCCATCACAATTTGGTTTTAGGATATGAATCTTTGAGGGCTTCATAGAAGAGATAAATTTTCTTAACATCATGTTTCTCAAGTTTGACTGTGCACACAAATCACTTTGGGTTTCTGTTCAGGTGCAGATTTGTGTTTAGCAGGTCTGGGGTGGGATCTGAGATTTTGCATTTCTGAAAAGCATCTTGGTGAAGCCTATACCACAGGTCCTTAGGTAACACTTCTAAGAAGCAAGGATGTGATTTTATCACTCACTCTTCATCTAGAACCCTGGTTTTTAACAATTTTAGGTCAAGGATCCCTTTGAGTATCTTCATCCCAGAAACATTAAGCTATGTATGTGCAATGCTTTGGGGCATTAATGGGTCCTTGGTTAAGAATCTTCAATATAAACATTTTCTCCAATTCAACCACATGTCCACAACCCCTCACTCCTTGCTCCTTCCTTTGCTTTGCCCTACCTGAGTCTAGAGTCTCTAAGAAATTAGCTGGGGTGTCAATACTACCTTTATGGGAATTCACTGGAACTCAGTTCTTTAGTCCCAAATCTTAGAGAAGTATGATTTGCATGGGGAGAGAGGGATAATGTGCATTCTCTGTAAGCTCCAATTTTTATTCCTATTTTATTCCAGCATATACACAAATATATAATTCCTAAACAAATGATAGCTACATTCTCACAACAAATGTTAATTGTAAAATTATTTACTGAGCACCTGTCATAAGCTTGGAATCTATTAGACTCTGAAAATACAAAGGGAACTATCATGAGTCAAGTAAGCACAACCAAAGTCCAAGTTGACATGTAAGCCAATAATTATGAGGCAACCAAACTGATGACATGAAGAAGATAAATGTAAATGCTTGAAAAATATATGCCAAATTTGTGCAGATTCTGTCCCATTTTCATGAAAGACCTTTTAGTCTAGACTAACCCTCTCTGATGTATCAGTAAAATGTTTTACATGCTCAAATTTATGGTGTTGATTCTTCTTTGTGAATAATCCTTTATCCTCAAACACACAGTCACAAACCAACCTGAAAACTTGTACATGCTCATCCCTCACCTCTTTCAAATTCATGTGTAATTGTAGAAAGCTGAGATCAAGAGCCTGATGACCTTAGAAATCATCTTATCCAGATTCTCATCTTCATCTTCACAGATGCGGTCACTCTAGCTCAGAGTACATAAGTGACTTATTTGAAGCCACCTAGCTCAAGTCTTTAATGGAAAATTTCCTGTGGTTTTAACTAAACACCTGGTTTCTTGCACAAGGATAGTCATGGGTGATTCTGGCTCTTAGAAAATATTACTCTCACCAAGAAGTCTGTATTAACTTCAGAAGGGGACTAAATATGAATAAGTATAAGAGAGGAACAAATCTGGTCAGGAAGGAACAGAACAGGCATAAAGCCTTCTCTGATTGATAGAGGCACATCAAGGGTCAGAGATAGAACTCCCCTAAAAGGGAGCTGATGTTGAACTTGAAGAGTCATGAAATGTCCAAAATAGAAAGAACTTTCAGTTTTATCCAGCCCCCTTACTTTTTAGGTCCCAAGAAAGACATGCAGGAAACCAAAGGGCTGGGACTAGCACCCAACATTTCCAAAGACTAACTAATGTTCTTTTCCCTGCTTGACATGGATGGAGCCTGTGGAACTAACTGCCCCTGGCACCACATGGGTGGTCTTGGATCCAGGAGATCACCTAATCACTACAGTAACAGAAAGAAGGGTGGGAGTTCAGAACCACTCCCCTCCAAGGAGTGACCCATGATCTAGGGATGGGGATCCAAGGGCCCTAGGGTCTGGCTCTTTTCCTCACCTCTGGCCTGGCTTCTGCAGGTCCTGCATGACCACATTGCCTACCGCTACGAGGTTCTGGAGACGATTGGAAAAGGGTCCTTTGGACAGGTGGCCAAGTGCTTGGATCACAAAAACAATGAGTTGATGGCCCTGAAAATCATCAGGAACAAAAAGAGGTGTGGCTCCATGGATGACATAGGCCATAGAAGATGGATTGCCTGGCTTCTAGCTGCTTCAGGACTCCAAACCTTTCTGCCTCTGCCTCTTCCTCTTATATTTCTCTTCATTCTCCCTTTCCTATTTCTCTCTCTTCATGTCTGAGTCCATGAAGGGGCAAAGCGGAAGTAAGAGTGTGGAATTATTAGTGCTTTCTGCGGTGTTAGACATTTCTGTTGGGGTTGTGGTAGGGTCTGAGAAAACGGGCTAATTGCTGCAGTATGACATGATACCTGTGTTTTCTGTCCTCATTCCCCACCCTCCCTGCCACTCCCCAATCACCTCAGATTTCACTACCAGGCCCTGGTGGAGCTGAGGATCCTGGAAGTCCTCAGAAGGAAGGATAAAGACAACAAGTACAATGTGGTACACATGAAGGACTTTTTCTACTTCCGGAATCACCTCTGCATCACCTTTGAACTTTTGGGGTCAGTCTTTTTGATTCATTTTCTTTTGAAAAGTTGCTTAAGGGAACTTGAAGAAAAACTTTGAAGTCATAAAACTAGATTTTTCTGGGCGTGAATATCTAGTGACTAGTGTAGACATAGCAGTCGCACAGTTATCTAGCAGGTCCAGGAGTGAGGAGAACGGGACCCAAAACGGAGATCTCACCCCATTCCTCAGTAAACCTGTTATCTGCCAGCATACTCATGTTGTGCTTCCCTGGTGCTGAGGACTAAGTACTGAGTAGGTGGAAAGTCCAAAACAAGGCCTCTGCCCTCAAGAGCTAAATTGAAACATGTTTAAAAGGACTTTCTTTGCTATCATGTTCCCCACACACTGGCTTCCCATCTCTATGGTATAGAGGCTGAAACCTAAAAGAACAGGAAGCTGTATGATCAGAGTGGGAAAAGGACTTTAATTCTGAGTAAAGAAGGAGAAGAGCAGATATTTTGGGTAAGAGAGCAGAGTCTTGATTTAAATAGATTGAAATCATTTGGGTGAATATTGGAACTGAAAAAGCATTCTAAATGGGAAAATGCATGCTAATTTGATTATTCTTCTCTCTGAGAAGTCAATATGCTGCAATTTAAACAAGCCCAGAAGACATTTAGCAAAGGAGAAAAATCAGGGTGAACCCTTAGAAGACATATGTTTCTGGATTCCCTGAGTTAGTACTTGGTGCTCCCACGACACCATCACTGATGGTGAGGTTCTAGGAACAGGCTATATTTGAGAGGGAGCATGGGCACTCCCCTCACCATCTCTGATAATTACAAAATGTGTTCTATCCTACCATATGCAACAGGGCATCGTCTTCTGTGGAGCAAAACAGACAGTCCAGGCTGCCTTTCTTGCCCATTAATCACAATGCCCAGTTAGGACATCATTGTACTTTAAAAGGGCTCTGTGAGGTCAAGAGAGGCCAGTGTGTAGAAGGAGAATCCTAAGCCTAGTAAGGTGGAGGTGCCCAGGTCAGGATGGCATTTCTCTGTTGTACCTCTCAAGAATGAATGGCTTGCCAGGCACAATGGTGCACACCTGTAATCCCAGCAGCTCAAGAGACTGAGAAAGGAGGATTGCAAGTTCAAAGCCAGCCTCAGCCATTAGCAAGGCCCTAAGCAACTTATTGAGACCCTATCTCTAAATAAAATATAAAAAAGTGTTGGGGATGTGGCTCAGTGGTTAAGTGTCCCTGGGTTCAATTCCTGGTACCAAAAATATGGCTTTCTAAATACCACCAAGGCTAGATAATCTTAGAAATGGAAGATCAGGAAGAGCCTGCAGAGTCATTTCTAGGTCCTTCTCTTTCCTTCCTATCTTTGTCTCACAGTTTGCACAGAGATCACAAATTGGCAATTTACAAACAAGTTTTTCTTTTTAAAGTGCTTGGCATTAGTTTCCAAGACTTATAAGTTAGCAGATTTCATATAATTGAATATGCTTTTATATAATATTTCAGGATTCTACCTCTCTAGAGAACTGAGGATTATCTGGCAAGAGCCAGCCTTCATTATAGCAAAGCCACAGTTAGATGGGACCAAGCAGCCACACTTGTCTTTAATAGAGTAGGAGTCCCTCATTTACCTTAGCTCTTGTCAGCACACTCTCTTTCTCCTTTACCTACAATATTTAGATAATCTTGTTAGGTCAGGGTAGGAATGACTTGGTTGAGTGACTGGTGGGCTTCCGGGGCCCTTCCAAGGGCCTGAGAACTATGACTATTATAGAAATTTGATCCAATCTCTGAACCCACACATGTAAATGAAGTACTTAAGTGGCTTTGTCATGAAAGAAATCAGGGTACATTGGAGAATCCAGCATGTTTGAGTGCCAATCTGGGTCTACCCTGAGTCACTGAGAAGGCTCAGTTTATCAGAAAGAAAAACCTTGCCTACTGATTTGAGATTTACTTGCTTCTAGAAGGGAATCCAGATAACACAGGATTACTTGAAGGTTCAAACTTGGATACTTTTTATACTCATCACTTTTTCTGTCTTTCCCAGAATCAACTAGTATGAGTTGATGAAGAGTAATAGCTTTCAAGGTTTCAGTCTATCGGTAGTTCGGCGCTTCACGCTCTCTGTATTGAAGTGCTTGCAAATGCTTTACGTAGAGAAAATCATCCACTGTGATCTCAAGCCTGTGAGTATAACCTCTGTCCTGCCAGGAGAGCAGGTTCTCTTTAGTGGCAGTTAGGGCAGCCAGCATGGCCAGGGCTTCCAGAGTGGCAGCCCTAAATTTCCTGCTTATAGGCTAAGTGAGATGCAGTGAAGCCTGAGGCACACATTTTGGAAGGACTAAGAGAGGTGTAGTGTACTTGAGGCAGCTAAGAACCAGAGGGGTTTCCTGCAGAAGTGGTAGGGGTGGGTGGTGGCTGTCTTGAGCATCAAGATGTTCCACAAGTAGTTGTGGGGGTCTGGATTTACCCACTTTTGCCCTTTCAATCGTTAGTCGCTTATAGTTCTTAAGAATTCTTGCTGGATTCTAGAGTTTTCCCTTATCTGTTCTGCAGAGGCTTGTGCCATTCACGAAGATGGATCATTCTTCTACTCTGCTCTGCTAAGTCCTTACTAGATCCACTGTACTCTGTGTTGCTCCTCAGGTATGGCCCACCTCAGACCACTTCCTCTCCTTCAGTGGCTGTGCCCTTCTTACTTGTCATGCTAGTATTGTATTCTTAGCTCATTCTGTGTCTCCCACTGGACTGCAAGCTCTCCCAAGGTCAGACTGTTATGTCCCCAGGACCTAATATGGTGCCTGTGAGAATAATGGAAGGCAATAAATAAATGCTTGTTAAATGAGCCAATGATTGCCAATATGAAGAAGTAATACTATAGAGGTAGCTAAGGACAACATGTGAGGAACGCTCGTTCCAAAAGTAATCTGACCTTCACAAGGTGAATATCCCTTAAATTCCTTACTCCCTTCTCTGCACCCCCAAACATGATTTAATTTTTTTAAACTGTTACTCATAAATAAAATTGAGGATATTTTTTGTAACTTAATATTGTAAAGATATGGGAGGACATTGCTTTGTTCTCCATTTCCAAATTCCTAACCTTTAGCTTTGCGGTTCCAAAAATTCACAATGCCCATGGTTCTTGGGCTTAGGGAAGTGACTTTCACCAAGGAAATCTGTAAGACACTTAATGGCTAAAATATAAAGTAACAGATTTCCTTGACAAAGTATATCAAGTAGACCAAATATGTGCATCCCTTTGGAAAACATACACACAACCAGCAGGGTATTTTGTGAGTAAAGAATCAGGGAATTATTCTTATGGACTTCATGGTTAGTATGGATGAGCTATGATAGCTCATTGCATTTGTCCCTTCCCTGGAATTCTTTCTACCAAAAAGATGGGAGATGAGAGGGTATGGTAGTCAGCTTTTGGTCCCTGTGATAAAATACCTGAGATAAACTACTTACAAAGAGGAAAGATTTGTTTTGGATCACAGTTTTCAGAGGTTTCACTCCATGGTTGAATGGCTTCAACCATGTGATGAGGCAGAACCTGGCATTAGGAGTTCATGGCAGAGCAAAGCTGTTACCTCATGCGGCTGGGAACCAAAGAAAGAGACAGGGTCCCAATATCCCCTTCAAAGGCACAACCTCAGTGACCTAACTTCCTCCAATTAGTCCCATCTCCTAAAGGACCTACCACCTCTCCACAGTGCCATAGGCTGATAACTAAGCCTTCCACACAGCAAACTTTGGGCTTTTATCATAACAAAGGGCCAGCCCCATCTAGTGAAGGGGTCTTCTTTCCATTGGGCTAGAGACTCACTAGAAATTCTTTTAAGATTTCTGCTAATTATCCTCCTTGCATTAACACAAACATTCTTTAGAAAAGATACCGTGGAGCAAATTTGGATTTTTAGTTTTGGTACCAGAGGCTTCAGAAGAGGCCTGCTATGTCATATGTGCCATGTTATGTACTCAGCACGCAATCACATGATCCATTCATTTGACATGAGATCCTTGAGGCACAAGTAGGACTTTAATCTTCCAATCTCAGCCAGTGCTGAAAGGATAGCCCAGAAGCTCGACCTTGTCATTTCATGGGTTCCCCAAAGTCAGTGTGAGACACACAAACCCCAATCTAACTTATTTAGTTACTTATTCATTTATTTGTTTATTTATGTTCTTTATTGTCATAGTGGTAGGTCTACAGGGGCATTAAACCAATTCAGTGATATTTGTAAGGCAAGTGAGGCACAGAACTGGGTGTGGAAGAAGATATTAATAAACCCACCATCTTCAGGAGTTACATAATCAATATGGGGAAAGATACATGCAAAACAGTGAATAATGAATCCAAAGAAGGTGTAGACTACAAATCAATGGGAAATAAGAGCAAGAGAGTACAATGGAATGTGGAGGAGATGCCAGAGGAGGAGTTTGAAGGTGGTCAGATTTGAACTAGGCCCTGTAGGGATGAGCATTTAAGTAAGTGGAGCACCTTGGACAACATTAATTTTTATAAACTTGACCTGTCTTTTTTCTCTTTGTGCTAGGAAAATATAGTACTATACCAAAAGGGCCAAATCGCAGTTAAAGTTACTGACTTTGGGTCCAGTTGTTATGAGCACCAGAAAGGTAGGTTCCCCACTGTCTTGAGTTCTCCCATTGCAATTTCTCTTCGTTTACACACAAGACTACCTGGGTTCCAATCTAGGATCAGCCATCCAGGGTTACTAGTATGATTTTGAACAAGGTGTTTCACTTCTCTGAGCCTAAGTTTCCTCATCTATAAAATGAGAAATTAGATTCAAATACCATAGAGGCTCTTTAAAGATCTTATATTCTGTGGACATGAAGTTACCAATAAACATTGGGTCACAAAACTAACTACATGTGTATCAGAAACACCTTGGGGCTTTGAAACATTATAGTTTCCAGGACCTCACCCTACTAAATTTCTGGAGAGTGCACAGGAGTTTGCACTTTAGAAAACAGCCATTCTAATGTTTGGGATTTACTGTCCTAGATTCTCTAGGCTTTGTACTTTTTTTCCAAACTAGAATGCAGGAAGTAGCCCTGGAGCACATTTGCATCAACCTTTATTGGATTTGATTTAAGATCAATTAACTTGGCTTCTGTCAAGACTGATGTAGAAAACATGTACCATTCAACAAATGTCTATTTTCTGGTATTCATTATTTGCTGGTTTGGGTACCAAAACCAAAACATGAAATATTACCTGTCCTGGGTTGCTTATGTATAATGTAAGAGACAGAAAGATTAAAAAAAAAAAGTAAAATAAAATAGGTAGAATGATTGGGAAGATACACAGGCTCTATTAAGGGCACGCACACACAAAAAGACTGTGGGACCAGCCTTCCTGGTGTCAGAATGTGTCAGAGGGAGCCCTCTGAGGCTGCAGAAAAGACTATCGGATAGGTATTCCCAAATAGTCTGCAGAACCACTTTGGAGGACCTATCTCCTTAATATATTTTTCCATATGGATCCTATAAGAATTCCATCCAGAAAACAATGCTCCCCATAAAGAACTTGTATGTTTACTCTTTTTAGATATTGGCAACTGTATTAACCTATTAGTTGCTATTTATCTTGGGCTGCCAGGATGCTCAGAACTGAGTTTGCAATTACTGTATACTTGCTTTCTGACGGTAACGTCCTCCTTTATATTTCTCCTGACTTTCCTTTTATCTTTGACTATGAGGCACTATGGAGTATGGATACTGGAATTGGACTTCCTGGTTTCAATTCCCAGCTCTGTTCACTGGAAGCTGAATGACCTTGACAATTCATTTAACCTCAGTTTTCTTATCTTTAAAATTGAGACAAAAATTGTACCTGCTTCATAGGGCTTTTGTAAGGATTGGAAGAATTCATCTACATAAAGCACTTGGGATAGTGCCTGGCACATGCTAAGCACCACACAGGTGCCATTAAATTTATGATTTAAAGTACCCTATATATATGAACTTGGCATAGTACTCAAATTCATTTTGGAAAAGGCATGGTATAAAAGTTGTTTTTAATCAAACATTTATTTTAAGTTAAAGAATTATTACATTCTTATAACCAATCTAAACATTAAAGAAGTGATTATAGCCCCTCTCAATCCAGGAAATCACAACATAGGAAAAATCAAAATGTTCCATTTCCCTGGTTTTAGATTCCTTATCTATAAAATTTAGGCCCCCTACAATATAATCTTCTTTCTATCTTTATTTGCTGAGATTTTTGTTGAGATTTTCTTTTAGTACTTCATTATACTATATATATATATATATATATATATATATAATATATTGAATAGACATTGAATTTAAATTTTGCATTTTGTACACTTCCAATTCTGATATGCTTCCCCCAGTGCCAAATCACAATACTGTCAGAAATTATCTTTCCAAAGCTCACCTGACAGTTTGAAAACTTAGTTTATATTAGTTTTATGGTTTGCTTCTTTAAAAACTTGTCTGACATAAAGTATTTTAAAGTACCCTGCTTTAACTTGCTCAGAACAATGCCTGCTTTGGAGTTCCTTATCAATCATCAGGTTGTTGTGAGGATTTGATGATGTTTTGTTTTTGATGTTACTTTCATCTTGCAGAGCTCAATAGGGTAAGAAGGTGGGGATAGGGGGATTCTAAATTATCTGCCATCTTTAATTGCCAAACTATCCTGGAGAGGGGGCCCTGGAGAGAAAGCCAGCTTGCCCACATCAGATTTCTCTTTTTGCCCTAACAGTATACACCTATATCCAGAGCCGGTTCTACCAAACCCCTGAGGTGATTCTGGGTCACCCCTACAATATGGCCATTGATATGTGGAGCCTGGGCTGCATCTTGGCAGAGCTGTACACGGGTTACCCTCTGTTCCCGGGGGAGAATGAGGTGGAGCAGCTGGCCTGCATCATGGAGAAGGAGGAAGGCCTGCTTGGTTGATGTCCTTGGATGGCTTCAGTCCTGACATGGGGCTACATCAGGCTCATCAAGGGCAGTGGCCTGCATACTATTTTTTTTTCCTTTGGTCAAAGTTTCCCTAAAAGTGTTTTTGAAGTTACATACTTCTTGTACATTTTTGAGAACTAACATTTTTATTATAAATTTACATAGTTTCAAAGGATGCCATTTCCCCCTTAATGTAAATTGTGACATTTAAAAATAAAACTGTTAAAGCAATCTTTCAAATATAGCCAAAAGAATTTAAAAAAAAAAAAAAAAAAAGAGTGACCTAATACCCACCAAAATCTACCTTTAAAAGGACATGAATAAGTTCTTTAACAGTTGTACCTTTCTTTAACTCTTTTTCCTCCTTGAATGAACTTTTTAAATTCTACCTCATATATAGAATTTTATTCTAATTTAATATAGCTTTATTTTTAAATATATCAATCACTATAACTTCAAATTTTTATTATCATAAGCTCCATGTGTAGAATTTTTTTCTCAAGAGATCACTAAAATAGAACTAGTGCATAAATTAAGATAATTAGTAGGCATAAAATGTGAAATTTTACTTCACATTGTATATACCTCTTAGAAGAATAAATGGAGCTGAGTTTTCTCTTTTTCCCATTAATTCTTATACCTGTAAGTGAACACTACTTCTTTAAAAAAATTTTTTTTTAGTTGTTGATAGACCTGTATTTTATTTATTTATATGTGGTGCTGAGAATTGAACCCAGTGCCTCACACATGCTAGGCAAGTGCTCTACCACTGAGCCACAAACCCAGCCCCAACATTACTTCTTGCTACAATGAACAGGCTCAGGACCAGGCCATTACAATACATTGATTGCAAAGATGTGAACCCAGGAAGGAAAGCTGTTCTAGTTATGTTTTCTCATTCTATGACTTTTTCTGAATTCTGTGTAACAATTGAATAATGATCTATCATCAGAAATTATTTTTATCAACCTATCAGCTGAAACAAATAATTGGAAATTATCTGACAAAAAATAGGTAGCGTTCAGTAATGACTTTTGCTTTTTTAACCTGGGAGGACTATTTCCCAGTAAAAAGGCTTTACTAAGACTCATCACAGGATTATTAATCACATCTCATTTTTTTTTCAATGAAGTTTTCTTGTAGAGCTAAATTAGACAAAATGGAGAAAATAACTAAAAATTTGAAAAATTCAAATTTTAGGATTTTCCTAGTAAACTGATAAAAGTTTGACCGTGAATCTCTCTAAATCAAAAGCTAAATTTCTGTTTTCTAGATTGTCTCAAAGTTATTCAGTGACACATGCCTTTGAGAAGTATTAAATATAAATGATTTCATTTGTTGTTTGAAACTAATAATAAAATATTAAAATAATTTAGATGAAAATATCTAGAAATGGTAACTATGGTGGAATCAACACTGGCCTGGGAGTTAGTAAATTTGGGGTCTAGCCCTTGTTCTGACTTTTTGGCAAGTCATTTCCCACTCTGGACTGGAAAATGAAGGGGTCAGACCAGATGACTTCTAAGGTTAGTAATGATTTTATGAAATATCCCTGAACCATTCCTGCTTCTAATACCAAGGTGAATGGGGCATCTGGCTTGAGCTTCCCACTGCCCCAGGACTGACTCAGTTTCCCCTTGATATCTGTAGGGTTGAGGAGCAGGAAGGCAGGATTGTGCATGGATTATGGCCAGAAACCTAGGGCTGAGAGCAACCCATAAATTTCTTTATCTGTACACTCCTATAAGGTTCAGTAGAGAAAAGTGAATAAGTAGGCCTATACTTTTCTTTCCAAGAAGGAATTTATCTTATAAGAAATGCCTTCTCTGGTGATTTGTATCTCCTTTCCCTCCCTTCTCTTCCCGGTGTTCCATGCTGGGGTGTGTCATTCCTAATTCAATGTGATCAGCATGTACCGACATTGAGATCTGGCTGCTATCAAGGTGGCTTGCCTTTGTTGGTGCTGATGTATGTTTAGAATAGCATGTGAATCTTAAGATACTGAGACAGCCCTGGAGACATGAGCTCTGGGTCCGCCATGCTACTGACTTGATGTCATCACTTAATATCCTCAAGTTCTTATCTGTAAAAGGCAAAATGTGGCCAAAGTCCCACCTAGCTCTTAACAGTCTTTGAATCTGTGACTTCACCAAGAGTGAACCAACTACACTGTGCTTGTTGAAGGTGCTGGGTCTGCCGCCAGCCCACTTCATTCAGACGGCCTCCAGGAGACAGACGTTCTTTGGTAAGTCCCCAAGTCTAATCTCTTTATCTCATTGTGTCTAATGAGGTGTCACAGATCTTGAAGGTACTTCCCATACCCTAAATCTCATATTTTGCTTTTCTCCTGTCCCCATACCAAAGGGCAGGATGTGGTTTAGGAGCTTACAGGCAATGAAAAGTGGTCCCAGATTGCATGCTGGAGATGAGATGGGTGAAATCACAAGGGGAATGGGTTCTTGGCAATACAAATGCATTGGAGCAGGAGAATGATCAGGTTCCCACTCAGAAGACCAGTGAGAGAAGAGGGCTGTGGCTGCCTCATCCCTGCAGTTGGCCCTTGCTCTGGAACACCCGACACAAGGCTGTTGAAGGCCCTGGTTCCTTGAACTGTTTTTTGTTACTGTTTTCAGTCAGTCACTTGCAAGCCATCATTTTACTTCCAACTGACTTGTAAAACTTTTTTTTTTTATAAAGTATATTTAATTTATATTTGATGACTTAAAGATGATCAGTTAGTAAAGCTGTGCATAGCCAAACTGCCCTTTCTTATTCTACCTCTGTTAGCAATTACTTTTTGTTAAATGTTAGTCATTGATTTAGACATTAAAAAAGCAAAGCAGTATTAAATTATCTGCAATTTAATATTTTTATAAAGATATATGTAATTGCTATATTACTGTGATATTGGTTCCTAGGTATTGGGGTGGTCAACTGAGGGGAGCCTTTACAACCAGGATGCTCTATATATAAACAAAAAATGTATCACGAGTTGGCTATTTTACAAGTGTTTTTGTTTTTGTTTTATTTTGTATCGGAAATTGAACCCAGGGGTGCTTAACCTTTGAGCCACATCCCCAGCCCTTTTTATATTTTATTTTGAGACAGGATCTTGCTAAGTTGCTAAGGGCCTCGCTAAGTTGCTTAGGGTCTTGCTAAGTTGCTGATACTGGCTTTGAACTAATGATCACCCTGCCTCAACTGTCCAAGTTGCTAATTTTAAAGGCATGCACCCTGTGCCTGGCCTTATGAGTGTTTTTCCACTCAAACTGTCTAGTGAAAGTCCCTATATTACTAACCTTTGAAATCTTCTGTTTGCAAATGAATTAATTGTAAAGGAATTAGAATTAAGCTGTATTCATGAGTAAATATCAGAAAGTTTTATATTTCCATGTACAGTAAAGCATATTTATTCTGAAAATGTATACTAATGAGTAAATACTTATTTCCCTTGATTTGTCTCTCTGGTATGGCAAACTGAGTATTGTCTGTTGAATTTGAATCCCTCAAGAGGACATAATGGGGAAATTAAGCTTTATATGATTTCTAAAGAAATTCCACAGAATATAAATCTGGACTAAAAAAAAAAAAAACTTTTAAGTGAAAAACAGTATGATAAACTACAAAATGAATGATGCATATTTGTGGGTCTATAAATGGCTCGTCATAAGACTTCACTTCTTGGCATAAGTCTTTAGAGTCCTGCAGAGTTGGGTGTTGTATTTTGGAAGTGGATCACACTGCAGTTATGAAAATGAGTGGTGTTATTCTTGACTCCTTCAGAATATATCCCTCTGACCTTTCAGCTGCCGCCTCTTCTCTGCCTCTGTCATAAGCCAAGCTTTGGTTAAGGAAAATGGATTAATAGTTAAAACTATTTTATCCATCTAGTTTCCACTCCCCAAACTAATTTTAAACACTTGCTTCAAGGATTTATGTAATCTTGGTAAAGCTAATAAAAGCTCTAAAATTTTAATAAAAGTTTTAGGGAAAATGCAACTTTTGGATTCCTACTGTGTAATATTTATAAAGTGGTTTGAAGGCAAATACCCAACACAAGTTAAAAGCAAAAGCCAGTGATTATAATAATACAGTTAGTTCTGTAGCAGTCTTTATTGACAAATAGCTAAAAGAAGTCCCGCATTACATCACAGCTATTTTTCTCCTTTTGCCAAAATCATTAGATGGTGGGAAGTGCCTTTACAAAACTATCAAATTACTGTTGTTTCATTTTTGGTAACTTTAGCAGCAGTTCTTTTATTCTTCATCTCAGCAAGATTATGAGGTTGAGATACAAAGTGAATCTAATGCGTAACACCATTTTCTAGGTGAGAGATGACAGAGTTCCTCAAACTTGCCCTGGATGCTTCTGATCCACCTGCAGGGTAGAGGTTAATTTTCACTTTTGTGTCCATTAGGATTCCAAATGAATTCTGGATAATAATGATGAATTAGTACTATTTGTTTTGCCAAGGCGTAAATAGTTCTATGTATAGTAATTTCATTTATCATACTTTTATTTGTAAGCTAATAAATAAACATTTTTAGAAATCAAAACAATTCTCCCTGTTGTTCTTTCCCCACCCATAGATGACTGTTTCTTAGTTTCATTGTGTATCCTTCCAGTGTTTCTTGTGCAGATCCAAATATTATTTCCCTCCTTCCTAAAAAGGTGATGTTCTTTTTATTTTATTCTATACCATGATTTTTCTATTTAATTAGTATCTTTACGTAAGTCTCTCTCTTAAAGACACTGCTTGCTACACATTATTCCATTAGGTAGATATATCACTATTTATTTGTTAATGAAACCATTAATAAATGGTTATTTGAGCTACGGTTAGGGAAACCAACTTCCTGTCAATGTACATTTGGAATATTTACAATCTTTTCTATTAGAAATAATTTTAATATGAGTGAATGCAGGTATTCCTAGCATCAGGGCTGTGGTTTAATAAGCCCGCCAGTTAATTCTGATGAGGCTCAAGTTTGAGATCCATTGCTCCAGGCAGCCATTGATCACAATGGTCAGGAGCCTACGCAGAGACTCAGTCTGTATTCCTAGTCATGGCTCAAGAAACATTTGATTAAAGCACAAGAGTTTTAACTGAATTCTCCTTGATTCTACTTTTTACTTACTTGAGGATTGCTTTTATTGGTCTACCGTGTCATCTGGTCTTGCCCATGTACTCCCCTCTCCTCTTTCCTTTCCAACCTCCATTTCCCCAGTTACCTGGTAACCAATTTTTCTAGTCCTCTCACCCTTCTCATTGTTTCAAGGCTGTTTGAATTTGTTTTGTTTTTTAACTCCTAAAATTGTAGTGTCCAAGCCTCAGTTCAGTGTGCTGTGGTTTGCAGGATAGTGTTCAGTACTACAAAATGTTCCTTCTTTCCCATTCCATTCCAATGCCCTTTCCCTTGCTCAGTTCAAGGTCAGCAATATAAGGACTGATCTTCATGTTTTGGTTCTGCCTTTGAAAGTAATTTTGAGTAATATATTTATTTTGACAAGATTATTTAACAAAAATAATGTATGCACATATATAAATATTTTAAAAATAGCATTATACTCTTGCAGTTTATTTAAGATTGATTCCTAATCTATATATATATTTTTTCAAGTGAACTTTTTTTTTTTTAATTTTTTATTGTTGGTTATTCAAAACATTGCACAGTTCTTGATATATCATATTTCACCCTTTGATTCAAGTGGGTTATGAGCTCCCATTTTTACCCCATATACAGATTGCAGAATCACATCAGTTACACATCCATTGATTTACATATTGCCATACTAGTGTCTGTTGTGTTCTGCTGCCTTTCCTATCCTCTACTATCCCCCCTCCCCTCCCCTCTTCTCTCTCTGCCCCCTCTACTGTCATTCATTTGTCCCCCTTGTATTATTTTTCCCTTTCCCCTCACTTCCTCTTGTATGTACTTTTGTATAACCCTGAGGGTCTCCTTCCATTTCCATGCAGTTTCCCTTCTCTCTCCCTTTCCCTCCCACCTCTCACCCCTGTTTAATGTTAATCTTCTTCTCATGCTCTTCCTCCCAACTGTTCTTAGTTACTCTCCTTATATCAAAGAAAACACTTGGTACTTGTTTTTTAGGGATTGGCTAGCTTCACTTAGCATAATCTGCTCTAATGCCATCCATTTCCCTGCAAATTCTATGATTTTGTCATTTTTTAATGCAGAGTAATACTCCATTGTGTATAAATGCCACATTTTTTTTATCCATTCGTCTATTGAAGGGCATCTAGGTTGGTTCCACAGTCTTGCTATTGTGAATTGTGCTGCTATGAACATCGATGTAGCAGTGTCCCTGTAGCATGCTCTTTTTAGGTCTTTAGGGAATAGACCGAGAAGGGGAATAGCTGGGTCAAATGGTGGCTCCATTCCCAGCTTTCCAAGAACTCTCCATACTGCTTTCCAAATTGGCTGCACCAATTTGCAGTCCCACCAGCAATGTACAAGTGTACCCTTTTCCCCACATCCTCGCCAGCACTTGTTGTTGTTTGACTTCATAATGGCTGCCAATCTTACTGGAGTGTAATCTATACATTTTAATTTGGGGTAGTTTGAAATTTTGAGCTCATCGGTAGAGCTCTAGAATGAATTGCATTTTTATAGGTTCAATTATGAAGTGTGTTATGATTCAGATGATCTTTATGAATATCATTACCCTTCATAGCTAGTTTTCTTCTTTTCAAAAATGACATAACTTGATATTAAAGTTTTTTCCTCCCTCTTTCTATTTTAGTGGGGAAACAAGATTGAACAAAGAGAAAGTACTTCAAGGTTGGCATAATCTGGTTGTTATTCTAAATCTCTGCTTTAGTTGTTAAAGTGATATGCAAATTAATCAGATTCAGTGGGTAGGGTAGCCTGGGGGCAGCACTGTACTGGGATTGACTTAGATTGAGATTTCAGAAATAAAGTATATAACAGCCACAGAATATGATCAGAGCAACTGGTAACCAAGAGGAATAAATCTCTTGACTGAACTAAACAGACACAACAGCTCTTCAGCTGGGCGTAGTGATGCAGACCTGTAATCCCAGTGATTTGGGAGGCTGAGGCAGGAGGATCTTAAGTTCAAGGGTACCCTCAGCAATTTAGTGAGGCCCTGAGCAACTTAGTGAGACCCTGTCTCAAAAAATAAAAAGGGCTGGGGACAGCTCAGTGGTAAAGTACCCCTGAGTTCAAACCTTAGCATCACCACCACCAACAACAAAAAAACCCAGAAACCACTTCTCCAAATTGCTCTTTACATTCAGCTTCTAAGAGGCCTAGTCAGCTGATTAGAAAGTTATATTGGTTCTAGATGCCTTAAAATATAACTGTCTAGATTTAAAATGGTTCCTATTTGGAAATGTGATGTTTTCTGGCTGGTGTTAATGGTATTTTCCAGCTCAGATATTTTAGTTTTAGTAGTAACCAAGAGCTTTAATTCTCATGTGTGCTCATTATTTTATTCTGAACTGATTCTTCCTCTTGAGTTCTGTTAGTATGGACCCCAAGTTTTTAGTTGTCCTGTGATCTAGCTCAGCTTTTTAAAGAATATCCTGAGTGAACTTTCAGGTAGAACTGCTATTTCTGTGCTGTGATTATAAAAGCATTTAGTTTTGTTTGAGGGGTAGTGACCTGGGGATAATATAAACTGGTTTTCATTCCCAGGGTGCTTAACTCCCTTTTCTGGAGACTAACTAGTCTGACACTTAAATGAACCTGCTTTTGAATGACTTGTACTGGACCCAAGTTATTCTCTGGCTTTGATCGGTTGCCACCACCTTGTCCTTTAGTACTGCTCCTTTGTCTTACTTCATTAGAAGCTGACTGTGGAATGTGAATAAAGTCTTTTGTGTTCACATTCATTTTTTAGTTTATTCTTTTTTTTTTTTTAAATTCTTCTCCCATCTTAGTTGGATGCTTAGTTCTTTAAAAAATATACATAATCTTTTTAGCTGGTAATAGTCTATTTGCCTTTATTCTGGTTAGTGATATGTTTGAACTTCTTTCCTTTGTGGTTCTTTTCTTCCTTCTTTTTGTAGTCTTTCTCTTTATTCTTACTGGCTTTTATATCTTAAGTCCTTATTTCTCAGGCTTGTCTTACCTTCCCTAGTGGTTCCACCATTTCTTGTCTTTTAATGGTTCCCATTCATACTCATTTTAGTCAGTTTATGACAATGGACTGGGCAGGTGAAACCACACGTTTATTTCCTCACAGCTGTGGAGGCCAAGTCCAAGATCAAGGTCTTCCCAGTCTGCTTCCTGGTTTGCAGACTGCTGTCTTTTGATGGCATCCTCCCACGACTTAGAACAGACAGTAAGAGGTCTTGTGCCTGAGCATGCTTTTGTTCTCTCTTTTTTTCCTCTGTACTAGGGCATTCTACCACTGAGTTCATTCCCAGCCCTTTTTATTTTGAGACAGCATCTTGCAAGGTTGCTGAGGCAGGTATCCACCTTGTGATCCTCCTGCCTCAGCCTCCTGAATCACTAGATTACAGGTGTATGCCACCAGGCCCAGCTAAGAGCTGTCCCTTCTCATGGGTCATTCATCACATTCATGAGGGATTGACCCTAAAATCTAATCATCTCCCACAGGCCCAACTCCCAAAATACCAATTTTAGGGAGACATGGATATTCACCCTAACAACACCTAATGAAGAATAACATCATTAATGTCCCCTCTCGAAAAATACAGGAACTTATGTTATCATTGTCTGTCATCTTAGTCTTTTTTTTTTTTTTAAACCACTTGATGTGGACATTATTGCCTCCACTTGTCATTCAGGCAGTGTTTGCTAGCTTTGCTGTTTATCGCTTCTTTTGTATCTCAGACCTTCTTTCCAGAATTATGTTTTCTGAAAGGTTCCCCGGTGTGTGTGGCTAGACTGATGGTAAAGGTGATCTTAGTGCATACAGTTTGGGTTGGACGGTTCTTCAACACTTGGAAGATGTTAATCTATTCTTATTTGGGCTTTCATTGTTCCTGTGAGGAAGTCTGGCCCGTCAGGTGGCATTCTACATTTACATCTTTCTCTATAACTGTTCTGAAAATCTTTGATTTGGTTTATCTAGGAGGGTTTTTTAAAAATTATTCTATTTGATATGCATTGTGTTTCCTTTATCTGTACATGGGTGTCTTCTCTCATTTTTGGAAAACTCAGCCATTATCTCTCTTTTTTTTTTTTTTGAGAGAGAGAGAGAATTTTTAATATTTATTTTTTTAGTTTTCGGCAGACACAACATCTTTGTTTGTATGTGGTGCTGAGGATCGAACCCCGGGCCACACGCATGCCAGGCGAGCGCGCTACAGCTACCACATCCCCAGCCCCAGCCATTATTTCTTTATGTTTATTTTCTCTGTTTTCCATTTTACATGTTTATTTTCTCCATTTTCTACCTCCAAAGATTTCATCTCTGAAAGATGGAATCTTTGGGAGGTGATTAGGTCATGAGGGTGCAGCCCTTGTGGGCGGGATTATTAAAAGGGGGCCCTGAAGAGCTCTTATACCTTCTTTTGCCATTTGAGCACATAAGGGGAGAAGTCAGCACTCTGTACCCTGGAAGAAGCCTTCACCAGAACCCAGCCATGCTGACACCCTGATCGTGAGCTGTGAGACATGAATGTTTGTTGTTTATAAGCCATCTAATCTATGGTATTTTGTTACAGTAGCCTGAACTAAACAATGCATGTGGGGAATTCTCATTCTTTCCCATTCATCACCAGTATATCCACATTCCTTCTCCTTGTATCTGTGCTGCATTCTGGGTAGTATGTGCAGCTTTGTCTTGGAGTTCATTACATCTCCCCTCAACCACATCACTCAAACCACTGAGGGATTTTTTTTTTCTTTTCTTAGCATTCTGTTTTTCCTTATTAAAGATTTATTTTATCTTTTAGAAAGCCATCTGGTTGTTTTTAATGCTTTCTGTTAATTGCTTATCTTTCTGAATCTTTATGGTAGGGAACAGACAGATGTGAGCAGTGGAAACATGAGGTTAAGGGAATAATTCTATAAAATGAGTCTCCTGTGCTGACTCTCATGTGGTTTCTTTTTTAAAAAAGCAATTTACCTGCAGCCCTGCCTGGCATAACAACCTGTTATCTGCAGGAGAAATGCAGGCCTAAAATGCCAATAAAAACATTAGTTACCCTATAAGGGGGGAATTTTGTGACCCTTCCACAGACGGATCCCAGAACTCTGAAAGGTAAGGATAATTCCCCTAACCATAACATCTCTAAGAACAAGTTCCAGTTAGAACCACTCAGCACAGGACAAACCAACCTAGAGTTCCCATGTGCAGAGAAAACTTGAAAGTCTGCTGTCATCCTGCTGCCTGTCAGTCAAAAGTCAAGAGGTGGACCTGGGTGGGTCTTTCTGGAAACTTCTCTGGGACCCCCAATATAATCAGAGGGTAGGAGAGGCATGCCATCCTTCTCCTGAGAGGACCCGCTCTCCCCTTTTCCTATCCCTTCTAATAAATTCATGCCTGTTACTCTGAGCAACACATCTGAAATCTTTCTGGTGTGATCAGGAATATTCTGCCTATAACATTTATGTCTTATTCATAATTAATTTCATAGCTTTTCTTTGCTGATTTCAGTGTGTGAATTCTTAATGATTCTAAATCTGTTCTTTTTTTCTGCTGACTCTCATTCATTATTATGACTCTCATTCATTCATTATGGATTATTTTCTTGTGTATGTGTTGAATCTTTGGCTGACCTATTATTTGCTCTAAAATTAGTGGAGAGCTTGTTATCCTCTGTTGTGAGTGGTTTGTTCTGAGCAGGATTTGCATTAGGCCACTGGCCTGAGATGACAGTAGCCTCCTTCTAGGACCCCTTGCTTCAGTGCAGTTTGGTCCTCCCACCTTGCTGTCTCATGAGCAGGCCTCCTCCAGAAACCCTTCCAACCTGAGCTGATGTTGCAGCAACTCCAAATTTCCATATCACTTTTCACATTTCAGCCCAGGGGTCTTTGATGGCTTGGCTTCGTCCCTTGGGGATTTCCTTGCATTCTATGAGCCCACTCACACCAAGCATACATCACTTATTCTGTAATAATAAGTTCCTTCTCAGTGTCCAATCTGCTTTTTCTCCTGGAAGGAAGTGTAGGTTTCATAGTGTTTTTTTTTTTTTTGTTTTTGTTTTTGTTTTTTTTTAAATGAAAAAGAAAGGGAAGGGGGCAGGGAAGAAAGAAGTACCATCATTATAATATTGAACATTTGGACAATGGAGATATAGAAGGCAAAACTCTTATGGTAATGATAGCAGCACATGTAGGGTCAGAGTCACCATTTATAAAATGCAACCAATGAGGACATGGGCAAACACAAAAGAGGGAAGAGCTAAAACCGAGATGTTGTTAGCATCACCTTATTTCCAGCAGGCAAACAACTCTTTTGGAAAACATTTGAATCTGAGCCTTGATAGAATCAGCTTAACTTCACAGTAGGTACTGTCGGCTCCTTGGCTCTCTGAAAAGTCGTGTAGAAAAGTGCTCGAGGAAACTTTTCATTAAAATAGAGATAGGCACAGTTTCTGTTCTCTTATATGTGGCTTTATCTGTACCCCTCAGTTATGTTTTTGAATGCTTTGTTTCACCACAGGACAAGGAATAGATGAACCTCTTTCAGAGACTGGATTTAAATAAGCGGCTGCTGCTGGTAGATTTATGAGTAAAGTGAGGTTTACTCATGTTTTCTCCAGCGATCGCACACGGTCAAAGCAGGTGAGTGTAGGGTGAAGGTTTAGGCTAAGAGGTCTCAAGTCTCAAGAGTATAAGCTTGAAAGATCTGCCACCAGAGCCCGCAGGGAATTAAATCACATAGACAGCACCTTCTCCCCACTCTCTCATCTCCATGTGAACTCTTTCCTTTTCTTCTCGTTGAACTTAGTTTTTTTGGTTTGTTTTTTGTTTTTGTTTTATTTTTAAGTTAGAGTAGCTTTGGAAAAAAAATGCTTAACAAAAAAATAAAAATAAGGTATCAGGAAAAATCCAGGAGAAATGACAGGCAGGAGATCAACCCACAGTCACATCAGATAATAGAAAAGCCAGACAGAGTAAAAAAACATTCTGATTCCATAAAGAAATATGTGACATGATGTAAATGTCTTTAGAGAACAGATCTCTATAAAAATTACACCCAGATTTTATTAAAAAGAACCAAATCAACTTGTTAAAACTCAATGGAAGGAGACTTTGTGACTAATCATGAGGGAATAATAGGATTGGAATTTACCTCCCTGTGTAAATAACTAGAAAACTCAACAATAAGTGCAAAATGTCAGTGGGGCTGGAGTTGTGGCTCAGTGGAAGACTAGCACATGTGTGGCACTGAGTTTGATCCTCAGTACTGCATATAAATAAATAAATAGAGGTATTGTGTCCATCTACAACTAAAAAAAGTGTATGTTATATTATATATATATATATATATATATATAATATACATATATTACACTTATTTATAATTTTCTTCCAATCTGTGGTTTGCCTTTTCATTTTACAAATGGTACTTGCAAAGAACAGACAACTTTTACTCGAATAAAATCCAGTAAGTGAGACCTTGGACTCCGGGCATCATGGCTCTGTGATGCCTAGATGAGGTGGAACAAATAAGCTGAGCCCCAGGATTGTCCAAAGCCATTTCCAGACTCTGGTAGGGGGCACAAAATAGAGCTCGGTGGTCCCCATTATTTGAGGAGGGAAAGCGTGGAATTTGGGGATATTAGGTGACTAAAATTTGAGGTTCAGAGAAGTAGAAGAGCTAGACAGAGAAAGAACTCTAGAAGTATACATAGCAGTCTGCTTAAATATGTCAAAATACGTTCTTCTGTCATGGATAACTGAAATGAACAAATTTTTAAAAATTCAACCAAAAAGACACTCTTAGGGAGACTGTTATCTGCATATGGGTGGAATGACACCGCATGAGAACAAGCAAGACACAGCTGCAGAGGAGAGACTGGTTCCTGGGGAGGGAAAAGTGGAGCTATTCCTAGAGCTCACAGAGGGTGGAGAAGCACGTGAGTCCCCACCAGTCAACGTGCAGGGATTTTGTGGAATAAACAGGGCACGCAGTAGTGATTCCAGAATGGTCACTTCCAAGCAGTGAATAAGGAAGAAAAATGAGAGAAATAGACGATTAAAAACCAAAAATCTTAAAAAGGAACCAGGTTGAGCTCCATATGTGTAATATGAATTGTAACGCTTTCTGCTGTCGTATATAGCAAATTAAAATTTAAAAAAAGAACCAGATTGATCTAGAGATGAAAAATATGATGTCCTGAAATAAAAATGTCACAAGATGGGACTAACAGGGTAGGCACTGTAGAAGAGGTCATTGAACGTGAAGACTTAGCAACAGAACATTCTGAATTTACTATGGAGCAGAAAGAAAGACTAAAATAGGAAGATAAACAGTCTCAGCGAAGTATGGAACAGTGTCAGACAATCCAACACACATGTTGGTTGGGAGTCCTGAGAGGAAAATGGGGAAGAGGAGGCAAGAGTAGGAATTCTACAGGAATTTTTCGAAATATATTCTGAAGGTATAAAGATTGAAAATACTTTGAAAACTAAAAAGAAGACTTTTTTTTTTTTTTTCAAGCAAAATTGGAGAGGCCAAAAACAGAGCCACACTTATATAGTAAATTATTGGTTTTGTGTTTGTGGTCAGTAGGATTTTGACAAAGGTCCTAGAGTAATTTATTAGATAAAGATAGTCTTTTCAGTAATGGTGCTGACACAACGAAAATGAACGTCAACCCTTACCTTGCACCACACACAAAAACTAGTTTGAAATTGATTATATAAACTGGATTTTATTCGAGTAAAAGTTGTCTGTTCTTTGCAAGTACCATTTGTAAAATGAAAAGGCAAACCACAGATTGGAAGGAAAGTATAAATAAGTGTATTATATGTAAATAATGTATACATCATATGTACATATATGTGTGTGTATATATGTACATATATATAAGACACTGTGTGCGTATGAATTCTTTCTCCTCAATAATTAGACAAACTTTTAAAGGGGCAAAATATTTTAATTAGAACAGGAACTTCATAAAAGAAGATACATGCAAGGACAATAAAAATGATACAAATGAAAAGATGCTCGGCATCCTCGATTGTCACATAAATGCAAATTACAACCACAGTTGAGATACCACTGTACATAACATTTGAATGACTAAAATGTGAAGAGATTGTAGAGTATCTAAAAGTCACACACTGCAGGTGAGAATGTAAAAGAAACCAACTACTTTGGAAAATAGTTTAACATATGCTTATTGTTACCCAGCAGTTTTAGTCCCAGAGACTTATCCAAGAGAAATAAGAACGTATGTCTGCATAAAGACTTGTGCACCATTGTTCAGTAGGACTTTTGTTTGTAACAGCCATATAATAGACTCTGTGTTTATCAGGAGGTAAATGAACAAATGAACTGTGGTGTGTTCATATAGTGGAATACAACTCAGCACTGAAGATGGAACACTAGATAGGCATCAACATGGATGAGTCTCTCAAAAACATGCTAAACAAAGGAAACCAGGCACTAAAGAGAACATAATACATGATTCTGTTTATATGAAACTCTGGTAAAAGACTGATGTAGAGTTACATAAAGCAGTTCAGTGATTGCTTGGGCCAGGGGTGAGAAGGATTTACTGGCATGGGTATGAAGATATATTTTGGGGTGATAAAATTCTTCTGTATTTTAATTTTTAGCACCTAGGTGGGTGCATACATTTGTCAAAACTCAAATGAACTGTAGACTTAAAATAGGTGCATTTTACTGTTGTAAATTATGTATCAATAAAGTCAGTTTAATGCATGGAATAAGTTAGCCAAAACCTCAGTGAACATATTGAGTTACCGATTACACACAGCTGACATGATTGTTAAGACAGTAAACCTAAGGGTGACATACATGACTGATTTAAGACGTGAGGAACATGATGGGAAGTTGTAATGTCTTTCAAGATGAGACGTCAGAGAGTTGAGGATGAGGCAGTATTCAAAGAGGTCATAGCTGGTCTTACAGAATCATTAAAAGACAGTGGATCTCAGATCCAGAAAGTGTAAGCAGTCCCAATTGGTAAATACAAAAGAAATCCACCTCTGTATTCATCGTAGCCAAGCCAAGATTCCAAAGAATAAGGAAGACAAACATCATTCACTAGTCAAGCAGTTAGGCTGTCTACAGGTCTGTCAATGTCAGTAACATCCTCTTCGGTATGCTGAGAGAGGGCAAGGATTAACCTAGGGTTTTAAACCTTTTTCTAGAAAACAGGTGAAGACCGTTCAGACAAACAGACCTTCAAGGCATTTTCAAAAAAATATTGAAAATAATTCTAGAAGGAAGGTCCGAGTTTCAGAAAAAGATCAGTGAGCAAAGAAATTGGCAAAGGTTCATAGCATAGATAAACACAAAGAAATACAACACGTATATGACAGTAATGATAATGTCTAACTTACGGGGAGGGGTGAAAATGCAAGGTAGAAGTGGATTTAAACAATTTCTGTAGTTTTGCAAATACAGTGTTTTATGTCCACTAAAAGTAGCCAGATAAACTGAAAGAAGGAAACATGGACACAAATGAGCAAAATAAAAGACAAAACAGCCACAGGAGTAACACACCCATGTTACACACAGATGAGCGATGACCCAGAATCTCAGCAGAGAACTGTAAACAGTAATTTTTAAACAAAAGTTCAAATTCTAGAACTAAAAATAGCACTGCAGTTGAGACTAATGGATGTTAAATAGCAGTTTAGACACTTGAGTGGAGATTTAGGAAATGGAACAGGTTAGCCAACCTTTTCTATAAGGAGCCACGTGATACATACTTTAGATCTTGTGGGCTCTGAGCTCTCTGTCACAACTGTTCACCCCGTACTGTTGGAGTGTGAAAGCAGCCAGAGACAATACTTATGTGGAACTTGTGTCTGTGTTCCAATAAAACTTTATTTACAAAGCAGCTGACAGTTTGGATTTGGCATGTGGGCTATAGTTTGCTAACGTGTGAACTAAGAGATAGTTTAGTAGAAAATACCAGAGTCAGTCATGGAGAGACAAAAGGAGGAGCAGAACAGAAGGGGGACCATTTGTTATTGTTGGTTGGTTTTTGTGTTGCTAGGGAAGGAACCCTGTGCATGCTAGGCAAGTTCTATACCACTAGAGACATCCCCAGCCCAAGAGGCAGCATTTACAAGGGAAATGTATTGCTTGTTCTTTGGTCTTATTATATTTTTTAATTAATGAAAGTGTCATGTATTGTGTTGACGTTTCATAGTGATTAACATTTGTATAAGAAACAGTTGTGTTTTGCTTTGCAGACCATGCATGGGATTTTGAAGCATAACCTGTTTTGCAAACATATGACAGTACAGTATGATTCAAGACTTCGAGAAAGGGTAAGTGACTTATTTATTGTGTATGCCAGATTTTCATTGCTGTGACAAATACCTGAGAAAAACAACATAGAAGAAAGATTTATTTTGGCTTATGGTTTCAGAAGTGCCAGTCCATGGTTGGCTGGTTCCATTGCTTTGGAACTGAGATGAGTGAGAATATCATACGGAGGAAAGCTGCTTCACCTCATGGTAGCCAAGATGGAGAGAGAGGGTGGGGGAGGGAAGGGATAGAGAGAGGAGGGGCCAGGAACAAAATATAGTTCCCAAGGGAAAAATATAGTCCCCAGTAACCTACTTCCTCCACACAGGCCTACCTGCCTAGCGTCCACAACCTCCCATTCAGTTATCCCTGGATCAATCCACCAATGAGGTCAGAGTCCTCATGAGCCAGTCACTTCCCCAAAGCCCCACCTCTTGAACATTGGCACTGGGGATCAGTTCTTAAACTCATGAGCACTGGGGGGACATGCCTGATCCAAACTGCAGTATTTATACATCGTGCTTTATCATAAAATTTCAGCTAGCCACCTCATTTTGTTATGTGGCTAAAAATTAAGTGTAGTTCTACTGGGGTCTACTAAATAAGTCACATATTCTTTTATATATTCTCATAGTACACGTGTGTGTGTGTGTGTGTGTGTGTGTGTGTGTGTTTTGCTGGGTGTCAAACCCAGGGCCTTGCACATATTAGGCAAGTGCTGTACCACTGAGCCACACACCCAGCCTGTATGTAGCACCTTTTAAATTTACTAAAAATTTATGAGATAAGATGGGATAAGCCTCTTGAATCATAAAAGGAGATACTTGTAAGAACTTGAAACAATATACAAGAGTTTAGAGTAAAAGGTGAAAAGTTCTCACCTCTCAGTCCTACTCCTCCCTTACAGGTATGAATAGATTTTTCTCCTGCCCATTTTGTAGGCCAGAAATGGTCTTCCTGAGGTTGACTTAGCAAAGTCATACAGTCAAATCATTAGATTTGAATCCAAGTCTCCTAGAGCAGCCTTGATTTTTATTGTGCTCTCTAATACTAACCTGTAAGCCCGTTAGCATCCCTGCCACCTCATGAATCTCTTCTTTACCTGGGCAGAAATGTAACAGAATGTGGAGGGGATTTTTAAAGAATGGGTTCCCATAACTTGCATGTGTTCTCTGTTATTGTTAAGAATGGATCTTAGAGCTACATCCTCAAGGCTGCACAAAGGGCTCAGTCTGTGCCTGAGAACCAGGGCTCAGACTGTTCAAGATGTTCAGACCTCTGAACCCTGAGCACACCTGTCATCATACAGTAGGAGAAAGCATCATCAGTGGGCGTGGCCACCTTTCTCACTCTGTGCTCTGTTCCTGGAGTGATTTCATCTCCTATGGTTTTAGTTGGTAAAATCCCAATGGTTTCCAAATCTGTGATCAGCTGAGATCTCTTACCTGAGCTGCATGTTCACTATCAGACTGCCTACTGTGGGTTTCTGGTTTGTATGTTCTGCACCTGTTTTCTGCTCATTGGGTGTTTTCCTTTACCCCAGGCTGCTCCTCTTTACCCTATTGGTTGAGCCATTCATTTTTGGCTCTTTGTCTCTTATGTCCCACCACCTACCACAGGCAGTCCTACATGTGTTCTCTGCAAACCCCTGCGGCCATCCTGGAGCAGCTCAGTGTCATCTCCTACCTCAGTCCCTGTGATAGTCATTCTCTTCTTTCCTGTCTTGCATTCTCTTTTCAAACCTAGTGTCCAACTGCAACCTGAATAATCCTTTGCAGAACGGTTCACTAATTCTCTTAAACCTGGGTCCCAAGGTACTGTGTAAACTCATCTGTCACCTCCTTGCCTTCTCTTCCTCCCTGGTACTTCACGTTGTAGTCTCAGAGTACTGGTTGGGCGTTGGCATGGTGTTTGCCACCTGCTAGCATTCTTTCCAAGCACTGCAAATTCATTCAACTTCGTAACATACTGTGTGAAGACTGAAAAACCTCACGTTTTAATTCACATTTTATAGATGGCAGACATCAAAGCACACAGAAGTCAAGTCTATGCTCCCGATCACATAGCCACCCAGCCCTGCAGTTCATACTCTGGAACGCTGATCACGGGCCTCTCAGTGTTATTTTATCATTTTACTTTATATATAGACTTATAATGGTATGAATTTTCCATTTAAAGAACTTTTCTTTCAAGATATAACAGTAACTATAAATATGCAATGGGAAATATAAATAGTTCTTTCAAGACTTGGATGTGATAGTAAAAAATATACATTATCTTACCAAGAATCAATCAATGAAATAGGCTAATTTTTTCATTAAAGAACAAACACACAAACAAACATTTTTTAAAAGGGGAAAAAAAATTTCTATAACAAGGATGTGAATCCCCCAACTTGCAACACTGAGTTCCTTCCATTTATCACTCAGAGATGGGATCAAGCAGGGTGGAAAACGCAGGCTGCACTCAAGACAACATAAGTCAATTCTAAATGGCTTTCCACTACTGTGTGATGTGGCTGACATTCCAGAAGAGTTTATGATTTTTAACTATTTCTGAATTAGCACTAGCAAAGGACGGAAATAAAGTAAGCCAAAGGCACTCCCTTCAGAAGCTCAAAACTGTCTTGAAAGGTACCTAAACACGCTCCCCGAGGGAAGAAGCCCCTCATCCCTGGAGCCACCATCCCACCTGGGGTTTCTGACAGGAAGAAGCCCAGAGCCCCCACCTCTGCCAGCTGTCAGTAGTTTGGACACCTGGGATCTCCAGGTCCAGGGGTAGCTCCATTCCCACCATTGATAGCAGGCCCCCAGCCTGGGCAGCCCAACCCACTCAGCCCTTGGTGCTGACAGACGTAGAAATCCCACCGTGGGGGCCCATGTCAGCACCCACACACATTCTGTCATGTATGACTAAAAAAAATAAGTAAAAATTAAAAAAAAAGGTGGCAGACTGGAGCTGTCTACTGCTGAGGCCCTGTGAGTACTGTTGGGCTTTGGGCCCTGGTGAGAGAGTAGGAAGTTCCTACTGGAGTCAGATGGAGGCCCCAGATGTGGGGGAAGGGGGACTGTGAAGTCATAATGGTGTTCATGAGGGTGGCCCCCAAGGGAGCCCCTGGCTGCAGAGCCAAGCCTGCCAAGGTGCTGGGAGAGGGCCTGGGAGGAAGGGCCAAGGAACAGTTGGCAGGCTGTGGAAGAGGGGGACACAAAGTTTGGAGGTAGGAGGGTGTCTCTGGGAGGAGAGAGCAGCGCCCACCCACTTTGGGCGGGGAGGCAGTGCTGGGGTGGTAAGGCAAGGTCTGGCTGAGGCCCACTGATGCCAGAGGCTTGGCCCCTCCCCAGGTAGAGGGGCGCACACATGGGCTGGGGTTGGGGGGCATGGTATAGCTGTCCCAGATGGCCTGGGACTCACCCATCAGAAGGCAGTGGATGTGCTGCGGAGCTTTCTGTTTCTCCCAGTTCAGGTCCTCAGTGGTGACTGGACAGGCCAGTTCCAGAAGTGGTGGCAGCCTCAGAGGTCCCCCTATTGATGTGACGGCAAAGGAAACTTTCATTCCTGTGGCCTACCCGTATTCCCCATGGATGAGCATTTTTTCCTTGGCAACGGCTGTCCCGCTCTGCCTACAGCCACCTTCTCACACTGGGCCTTCTTTGCC